AGAGATAATGGAGTGGCATACTTACAAATAGAGTCTCTGTGTTAGGAATTCTCATTCCACAGTTGCATGCCAGCTGTGTATTTCTCTGTATTGTATTTCACAGAACGATCTGATCTTAACAGACTATACAGAAGTTATGGGTCGTTTCAGAAAGTGGGGTGTGGTGGGTTGTTGAATGTAGATGGGATGGGAATGTGTCCTGATGTCAATTCTCTGGGAGCCTGCCTGGCAGGAGATGGAAGCCTTGTTCTTAGTCTCTGCAGTCCTGATTCCTGCTGTCACTCCTCTATCTCCCATCTGTCCTGGCAATTGAGGACTGCATAGCTGTCCTCTTGGGATGAATTTAGCCCTTTAAATCTGAATATTTAAGCTCAATGTGCCAAGGATAATATCCCACATAGATAATCGATTTTAGATAGTTGGACAAGGGCTCCCAGAGAGGTGGTCAGTCTAATTATGGAAATACTCATCAAAAGACAGCTATGTGCCAACCAGTGTAATGAAAGCTGAGGAAATAAAGATTAAATCTGCTTCCTTATGAAAATGTCCTGTCTTATTTAAGGTGCGCTGGCGGTGATTTTGATATCACCTCACTTGTTTGCAATCTGTTTCTTTTGGTGTATGCAGGGGCTAGTGGCCAGTGGCTAGGTGAGAATGAGAAATAAACTGGTTAAAATTGGCCTTTCCAACAAGTTGAAAACCTCTACTCTGCGGACACATGAGCAGGAAACTCAGCGAGGACATATCCCTTTCTCTACTTCTCTAGTTCTCCATTCACCAGAGGTTCAGTAGAGTCAAAAATGTTTGCACTATGTTAAAACCATGAAGCAATAGACTTGATGCTATTGCCTAGCCTAATAGTCACCTGAACAGATGACTGAAAAACCAACAATTGAAAAGGACAGGTACAGTTGGTAGAAGTTAAAATTTTATGCCACCTCTCAGTGTAAAGGTTTAAAATCACAGTTGTTTTCCCTTTGTGGTGCTTAATATTTAATCCCAAGCCTTGTCCTATTTTTTATCAAAACCCCTAACCAAGTAATGTCATTTTTTGTTGCTCTTGGGGCCTGGACTCTGGGCCTGAGCACTGTCCCTCAGCTCTTCAGTTCAAGGCTAGTGCTCTACAACTTGAGCCACGGCGCCACTTCCTGCTTTTTCTGCTTATTTGGTGCTGGAGAATCAAGCCCAGGGCCTCATGCATGCAAGGCAAGCACTCTAGTGAATTCACAGGTTTTGCACCACATTTTTATTAGGGCATGGTAATTGTACATTGAGAAGGGTTTGCTGTTATTTCTTTGTGCGCATATGATAGATAGGCTTTAAGCATATTTGTCTTCCCATTCCTCTTTTTTATTCCCTGTAGCTCTACTTTATTCTTTGAATCTTGATTATTTTAATTTATATTATCATTAATTAGATATACCAAGGTAATCCAATTCAACATGCCATTTGGAGAGTGCATATTGACTAACATCACCCATTTCATCAATATCTTTCATCTCTCTCAATCCAACATTTCCATCTTCTTGTAAGTTTTAGCAGAAATTTCATCATAACCTTCTCATACATGTGTGCAATGTACTTCAGTCCCACTCCCTACTTGCCTTTTGCTTTCCTTATTTATCACAGTCTTACTGGAAGTTCCAAACAGGATACAACACAGGAAGCCTTTTAATGAAAAGCTGATGTTGACCTAGATGTTCTCCATGAGTTGGATTTTAGTAGTTGGAAGCTTTTCTATACTTTAAATTTTTCTTAAAAATATAATCAAGAACTCTAATAACAACAGATGCTGGGGGGATGTGGACAGAAGAGAATGTTACTGCATTGTTGGTGAAAGTGTGAATTTGTTCAACCACTTTGGAAAGTAGTATGGAGGTTCCTCAAAAGACTCCACATAGAGCTCCCCTATGACCCAGCAATCCCACTCTTGGGCATTTACCCAAATGATCACAAACAAGACCACACTAAAGCTACCAGCACAACTATGTTTACTGCACCACTATTGACCATAGCTAAGATATAGAACCAACCCAGATGCCCCTCAGTAGATGAATGGATAAAAGAAAATGTGGTATATAGACACAATGGAATTCTATGCCTCCGTCAAAAAGAATGACATTGCACCATTTGTTTGGAAATGGAAAGACTTGGAAAAAATTATATTAAGTGAAGTAAGTCAAGCCCAAAGAAACATAGGTCCCATGGTTTCCCTTATTTGCAATAAATGGTGTATGTCTGAGACAAGCAGAAACAGTCAGATAAGTTGATGTTAGGTGAAATGAACCCCAAGATAAGGATTCAAATGGTTTTTCTTTCTTGCTATTGTTTCTAACATATTTATAAGATGATTTCTTTGTTGCTTTGTATGTCCCTCCCCCATGGTATAACCCCTGTTTTCACTGTATTTGATGTTGGTATAATTTGGGGAGGGGAAGGGAAAATACAAATTGTTTAAATAGGGATACAGGTGGACCCATTGCAACAGTGAGATGTACAAGACATTATGTCAAAAAACAAATTTTACAACTTTTGTGTGAGGGTGGGGGGGGGTGCAAGAAGTGGCCAGGGTTGTGGTAGATGGGAAGGGATGTAAGGAGAAATAAAGAAGGAGGCAACAATGCTTGATAAGAAATGTACTCATTACCTTACCCATGTAATTGTAACCCCTCTGTTTGGTATTTTCACAATAAAAAAAAAAGAGTCTATCTGAAGGTCCTCTGCCAATTAATGAGAATTAACTTTGAAACCACTAGAATCTTCAACAACAGAGACCTGGGTGACATCTTAGGACACATCCACATAGGAATTTTTTCCCAATTGGCCAAATTAACATTCTCCTCCTATGCAAGTCTCATAGCTATGATACATCAACTGTGCAGCAATCAGCAGTTGAAAAATGTAATTTTTGCTGTCTACCATCAGCTCAGCATCAGAAACACCTTATAAAACAATGGGCCTGATGGGTGCGGTGGCTCATGTCTCTAATCCTAGCTATTCACGAGGATGAGATCTGAGGATCGTAGTTCAAAGCCAGCGTGGGCAGGATAGTCTATAAGACTCTTATCTCCAATGAACTATCAGAAAACCAGAAGTGGAACACTGGTTCAAGTGGTAGAGCGCTAGCCTTGAGCTGAAAAGCTTAGGGACTGTGCCCAGGCCCAAAATTCAGGACTCATGACTGACAAAAACAAAAACAAAAAAAATTAAAGGCTGAATTAAGGTCACACTCACCATCTTCTACTGAAACTCAGATGAGATATTATTTTTTTCTGTATAAGAAACCCCTATTAGTGACCTGGCTGTCTAAAGCCTTTTAAGTCTGTAGCCGAAAGCTTTAAATTCAGAAACAAGTGTTTATCAAGTTTTTAAACAAGCGTTTGTTTATCACTTTTTACTATTTAACAAATTAATTCTATCATTAATTGTCAATTAGTGACAATTCTCCAAGATTTGAAATAAACATGAAGGGAAAAGGCTAACAAAAATACTGTCTCAAGATATGAAAAGGAAAAAAAGGATTTGAAAGAAAATGTGAATTACATTCATAACTTTTTCCTGGAACACTGTCCTGGAACTTGAACACAGGGTCTGGGTACTGTCCCTGAGTGTTAGCCCAATGAGCTCCCTTCACATAGTTTAGTACACTCATTCTGCTCTCCACAGCTTTGTATACCCCCTTCCTAAGCAACACAAGGTCCATTTAGTAAAGGCAGTGAATAATCAGCCTCCAAACTTGGGATGGAACTTCTCTGAGGCAGCTACCACCACATAAGGCAACAAGAGCCCCTTAGAGTGACCTTCAGGTGTGGGCAGCTGTAGGACCCCTTATCTACTATTTGCACAGCAGCCATAAATCCTAGTCTGCCATGATGAAGCCCTTGGCCCACAGGTCTACACCAGGGTCTCTGCCTCCTTGCCCCTTCTAGCCCCTCCTAAACCTTCTAGGTTATATAGTTCATCTCAGACAATAGCTGGTGCTTCTTCTCACTTCTTCCTTGTGAGAAAGGGTCTTTCCAGCCCCTTTCCTGGCAATAAACCTTTCTTTGTTCTCTGCCTGGATGTCTGCATGATTTTCTGGCAAAGTCCAAATAATCTAACATTGTGTATAAGGCTAGCTAGCACTTTACCACTTGGACCATGGTGTGACTTCTGGCTTTTTCTAAGTAGTTTATTGGAGATAAGAAACTCAGACTTTTCTACTAGGCTGGCTTCAAATCAGGATTCTCAGATCTCCATCTCCTGGGTAGGTAAGATTACAGGCATGAGCCACCAATGCCCACCTTTCTAAATATGTCTTTATTCTATGTTTAAATAAACATTCAACAAAAGTAAGGTATTTCTAACAGTTGCTCTCCAATACTAGCAAACAGATCATTAGTTTCTTCCTTTTGCCTTCCAGTAATTTCCAAATGCTTTAAAACTTCTTTTTATAATTTCTAGAAACATCACTTCTAGAAACATCACTTCAAAAGTGTAAACTAACAAACAAAAAGGAATTCTGATAGGTGATAGGAAAGTACAATGGCAGTATAGGCCAGCACATGATATCTTTTATTTTTGCCAGTCCTCACTTGAACTCAGGGCCTAAGCACGGTCCCTCAAGGCTAGCACTTTAGCACTTGAACCACAGTGCCACTTCCAGCTTTTTCTGTTTATATGGTACTGAGGAATAGAACCCAGGGTTTAATGCATGCTAGGCAAGCACTCTATCACTAAGCCACATTCTCAGCTCTCTAATTTTTTAAAGAAAAAACTAAGAACTCATGGCTTCAGCTGAAGTTCCGCCAAATTAAGCTAGGAATGGGTGGAAGGGCTCGCCCAGTACCTTTTGCCTGGTTAGAGGACATCAGAAGCCAGCTATATATTCATCTCCTCAGAGTCCATGGTTTGGGAAGAAAGTCTCAGGCATGGAAAGAAAGTCCCAGAGATGGATAAATCTTAGCTGTCAATCAGAAGACACCCTTCTGATTCTTACTGATGTGTTGTGGATGGTGAGCTCACTTAGTCAGAGAGATTTCAGCCTCAGCTCCAGCTTTTTCAATATCTGCTTTGTTCTTGGGGTACAGCCATCTTTGTTGATAAATGTGTACAGCTATTGCAGTAAGGCAAACCAAGATAAATACCACGGCTGCTGTCCCACCTGGTGAGAGAAAAGAACAGGCGATAATTATCAGAGATCAACTAGGAACTTGGACCAAACCAGAGGGTCTACGTGCCATCAGAGAACATTATTTCTAAATCTTGACAAACTGCAGCAGCTTTGTGATTTCTACATATATACAGTTAGACTGAATTGCATTTCAGCTAATGCCCTCACAGTTAAATGCAAAAATATGACATAAATCTTTAGTCATGTTCCACTTCACATCAATAACCAGTAATTTCAATTAGAAGTGTGTATTTCTGTCAGAGTAATTTAAGGTTGTTAGAATGGCAAAAATCAAGAACTCTAATAACAACAGATGCTGGAGGGGATTTGGACAGAAGGGAACCTTACTGCATTGTTCATGGGAGTGCAAACTTGTTCAACCACTTTGGAAAGTAGTATGGAGGTTCCTCAAAAGACTCCACAGAGAGCTCCCCTATGACCCAGCAATCCCACTCTTGGGCACTTACCCAAATGATCATAAATAAGACCATACTAAAGCTACCAGCACAACTATGTTTATTGCACCATTATTGACCATAGCTAAGATATGGAACCAACCCAGATGCCCCTCAGTAGATGAATGGATCAAGAAAATGTGGTATATAGACACAATGGAATTCTATGCCTCCGTCAAAAAGAATGACATTGCACCATTTGTTTGGAAATGGAAAGACTTGGAAAAAATTATATTAAGTGAAGTAAGCCATGCCCAAAGAAACATAAGTCCCATGGTTTCCCTTATTTGCAATAACTAGTGTATGTCTGAGACAAGCAGAAACAGTCAGATAAGTTGATGTTAGGTGAAATGAACCCCAAGATAAGGATTCAAATGGTTTTTCTTTCTTGCTATTGTTTCTAACATATTTATAAGATGATTTCTTTGTTGCTTTGTATGTCCCTCACCCATGGTATAACCCCTGTCTTCACTGTATTTGATGTTGGTATAATTTGTGGAAGGGAAGGGCAAAAACAAACCGTTTAAATAGGGATACACGTGGACCCATTGCAACAATGAGATGTACAAGACGTTATGTCAAAAAACGAACTTTATAACTTTGGCTGTGGGTGGGAGGGTGGGAGGTTAGGAAGGGAGGAGCAGGGGAAGGGGGGTGGGAGGGGAGATGGGAAGGGAGGGGAAGGGGAAACAAAGGAGGAGGCAACAATGCTTGATAAGAAATGTACTCATTATCTTGCCCGTGTAATTGTAACCCCTCTGTACGGTATTTTCACAATTAAAAAAAAGGTTGTTGTATAAACACTTGAATAAAATATTACTTTGATGCTGCTATTCTATTGAATTACAATTATTTGATATAGATGGCATTCACCCCTATGTGGCCCAATGTCTTCCTCCTAGGGTTCATGCCTTATTTCACCCTTTTGTTTATAGGACAGAGGTTAGTAGTTGTACTTAATGATATGCATAATATGCCACTGTGTGACAAAGTTGGTGGCAAGTGTCTTGCTAGTCAAAGCCAGCAGCCAGTCTACAGATTCTAGGTACTATCATCGAGGTACTAACTCAACATGAGCTAACAAAACACCAGGAAATCTCTACCAATGACCAGCACCTAAGGAGAAGTGGACAACACGTCCCTGAAGTAAACAACACATCCATGCATCCTTGGCTGACTCTTGCCTTGCAGCCTATAAGAGCTCAAGCACAGTATAGTAACCTATAGAAACTGTAAGAGAATGTGACTGGTGTTAGTCTAAGTGGGTAGTAATTTACCATGAAGCAATAAGTAGCTAATATGCCAAACTATAAAGAACATTTCCTGCTGGAAATGTTTATTTTTGTTGTTATTGTTTTTTTTTCTTTTTATGGTATGAGTTTGAGCTCAGGCTATGTACTTATTAGCAAGCACTGTAGCACTGGCTACAGTCAGGCTTCCAACCCTTGTAACTAGGATTATAAGCAGGAGCCACCACCACTGGCTTGCTTCAGCTACTTTTATAGAGAGTTCTAAGGGCTTTGCATTGGAATTATTATATTTAAGTTCAAAGACTGGTAAATATGCTAACAATAATCAAGCTATTTGATGACAATTGCTTTCAACATTACAGGAGCGCAGCAGTACATCCCCACATTCATATATGTGACTGGATGCTTTTAATTCTGGCTCACTTTATTGTTTTGTTTATTGGCTTTATGTGGTTTAATGAAGTCCGAAAATATTAATCTTCACTCACCATGTACAAAGTCTGAGATTATTTGAATGTGACTGTGTTTCTGAAAGATTTTCACTCCTGTCTTTCAGTCTGTCTGAATGACCTCTCTACCCATCCACTGTGCTCCCTAAGAGCTTGGGTTTGCCAGGTTTTACTTTTTCTAGTGTAGCTACTCCTTTAGCTATCTTTCCTTTTGCAAGAAACAAATGTCATATAAAATACAGCATCCAGGGAAATCGTCAGTTGAGATAATTCTTTTTATAGATTGAATATTTTACATGTAGATAGATTTGGTGAGTTAAAGAAAGGGCTGAAAATTCTACATGAGCACCACCCTGGAAGTCAATATACTCTACCCAGCCATGCCCTGATCAAAGGCAGATACAAGAGAACTGGAGAGACTGGTACACTCAGCTGGTTATGTCCTGAGAGGTTCTGAATTCTACTTGTCTATTCTATCTATGAGGAACCAAGTAAGGATCCTCAGGGGACTCACTAATGTGACTCCTTTCCTTTGAAATCTGGCTAATACTATTCACCAAGAACTCAAAATTCAAAGACCAGATCTTTTGTGCCACGATCAGTTTGACTATGAACTCTGATGTCTTCAATAAGAAATTAGCAACTATGCAATTTTATTTTCCAGAAAAAGCAGTGCTTTATTGTGGGTAGGAATTTGTTATTATTATTATCTTTACGTAATTGTACAAAGGAGTTATTTAACAAAGAAGTTTATGAATATATTGCATCTTGATGAGTGCCACCCCTTTCAGCATTCTTATCTATGAGATTTCATAACTATGACTTGCATTTTATTTTGAAAATACTGACCTCATTTATATTAAATTAGTTTTGCATTATAATGAACACTTCTGCTAAAAAAATAAAATGATTTGAGATCACTACCTAAAATTTGATGATGATGATGATGATGATGATGATGATGATTAGTCACTTTTAGAATTTGAACCCAAGACTTGATGCTGCCCCTGCTCAAAGCTAGCATCCGAACACTTTTAGCCACAGCTCCATTTCCAGTTTTCTGACGGTTAATTAGAGATAAAAGTCTCACAGACTTTCCTGCCAGGCTAGCTTGAACTGTGATCCTCAGATCTCAGCTTCCTGAGTAGCTAGGAGTATGAGCTTAAGCCACCAGGGCCAGCATTCACTTATCTTTTAGCTAACTCATGTTATATTTATGAGGTCTTTGTTATTCTTGGAATTGCAAAACAGAGGTCTCATTAAATATGTCCTGCATACTTAACTCATTGCAAAATTAAAAGTAGTTGAGAGAAAAGGTGAAAATATTTAACGATTTGTGCTGACACTGTAAAATGTCTGAATTCTCCCCATTCTCTCTGACATCCACGTGGATTCACATAAAAGTAATATTTATAGTGTGTGGATGAGGTATATAGCCCTGCATCTGAATGCTGGGGTTTCAGGAGGTGCCACCCAACTCTGAATTATCATCTCATTTGAGAAAGCAAATGGCTCACAGTCACCACTGTCTGCAATAATTAAAGCAAGAGACTGTAAAATGTTAGCTCTCTTGGGGAAAATGGTCCCTTCCCTTTGTTTTCTCTCTTTATGAAACAGCACATAGAAGCCTTCCCCTTTGTTCTCTCTTGGCACCTGACTGCACGTGGCCCTCCTTAGAAGTTCTTGCCCAGCACCTGTAACCCAAGTAAGTGGTGCACCCACCCCTGCGTTCACTTCCACATTCACTGTGGTCACACTCCTTCTCATCTTCCCCTGTATAATCTCTCTCTGCCATTAGTTCCCATTCTGCACGCCTACATCTACATCTGGTGCCGGCTAGAGGCTTGGTTCTCCAGTAGTCTCTCTGCCTGATCCAAGGGATGGTCTCCTTTCAGCAACCCTTATATAAACACCTTTGAATGAGAAGGGAGAATGTCATGTCATATTTGCTTTCTGAGTCAACCTGGGTAAATTCTGACTCAGGCACCATATTGTATACACAATCAGGATAGTATTTGATGTTCATACACTTTCTTCAATTTGAAAAAGTCCCTTCACCCCAAAACATTTTAATATGGTGTTAAAGTAAAATATGCTGAGAGAAGCAGGTAGACTAAATGTGTGTGTGTGTGTGTGTGTGTGCCCTTGTCCTGGGGCTTGAACTCAGAGCCTGGGTTCTGTCCCTGAGCTTTTGTGCTTGAGGCTAGCTCTCTACCACTTGAGCCGCAGCTCCACTTTCAGCTTTTGTAGTTCTTAACTGGAAATAAGAGTCTCAAGGACATTCCTGGCTGGCTGGCTTTGAAACATAACCTTCAATTTTATTCCTCCTAAATAGCCAGGATTACAGGTGTGAGCCACTGACATCAGTTGACTACATGTGTTTTAAAACATAAAAATCTGAATCCTGTTTCAGGCTGTGGAAAACTACTTGCCAACTCAGTATTATGTACAAAGCACCACAAAAACACTTTTTTTTTGGGGGGGGGGGTGTTAGCATGGTTCCATTTGTCTCCAAAAGCAAAAATACATCCAGCCAAGAACTAAAAGATTTGTTTTCTCTCCAAACAGGAGAGCTACAGATTTTAAGCATATGTAAGATCTCTTAAGGAACCACAAGGGACATTTTAAATGAAAAGCTTGTCAATATTCTTTAGTTTGGCTACTATTCTTTTGAGAGTGTGTTGGGGTAACATATCACTTCCATTTACTCAATTGTTGCTTAAGGAGTGGGACTCCTTAAATTAAGTTAAACATCAAGGAATTTGCGATGATTGACTTTGACCTTACTAATCTGCAATGACTCTTTATAGATATCTTTCATTTTATGCTAACACCATCCTTTACCTCCGATGGCAGAAGAATCCCTCTATTTGCATTAACTAAGGGTTCTCCCTCATTGCTTGAGCCAGAACCTACAGTAGGAAAAGGGAGAAAGAGGAGTGTACTGAAGTAATTTCCAAGGATTGGAAGAACCCAGAATGCAGTGTGAATTGAGTGTGAAAAGAGAACAAAGGAAGAGAGAGAGGAAGGAAAAGAGGAAGGAAGAAAGGAAGGCAGGGAGGGAGGGAAGGAAGATAGAAGGAAGTAAGAAATAAAAAGAAAATAAAGAGAATAAAGGAAAGAGAAAGAATGGAAAGGAACAGAAAAGAGGGAGCAAGAAATGAGAAAGAAAGGAACAAAGGAAAGAAGGAAGGAAGGAAGGAAGGAAGGAAGGAAAGGAAAGGAAGGAAGGAAGGAAGGAAGGAAGAAAGAAAGAAAGAAAGAAAGAAAGAAAGAAAGAAAGAAAGAAAGAAAGAAAGAAAGAAAGAAAGAAAGAAAGAAAGAAAGAAAGAAAGAGAAGGAAGGAAGGAAGGAAGGAAGCAAAGAAGGAAGAGACCAGATAATAAGCAGGCAAGGGCCACGCACCTGCACCCTCTGTGAAGCTGGGCATAAGTTCCCACGCTGAGGAGCCAGGTCTTGATCCCTCCATGCAGCTGGTGGCAGCAATGACTGAGCCAAGGATGGTGACTTGGGCAGCTCCTCCTGGGTGCAGAGCTGCCTTCAGTGGAGTAGCACCACCAAAGCTCACAGCTGAGAGGCAGCCAGTGAAGCCACGTGTTGCTGCCAGCTGTGTGTCTGTGTCCACTCCTGGGAGCTCTGCTGGCAAAAGGTGGGGGGGACAGCAATCAGGATCATGGAGGTGCTGTGGAGCTGAATAGACCTGATATCAAGTCCAAGCACCCTGAGTTCCTTGTCTCCTCATCCTTAAGGAAAGGCCCAGAGCCAGGGAGGCCTCAGTGACAGATTGGAAAGTAACTTTGGCCAAGGTACCAAACCCTTCCCAGATGCATCCAGGAGATGAAAACAAGGGAGTTCCTAGGACACTTTGATTTTCAAGTGATCATCATTTCAATGCGTTGTTTCAGGGGGTTAAAGCCAGTGATCTTGGCAAAACAAAATGCCTCTTTGAGGGCAGTAGCCCTCTTGGAAATTTCCTTTGTTCAATTCTATAGGTTTTAACCAGATGCTGGTGGCTCACTCATGTAATCCTAGTTATCCAGAAGGCTGAGATCTGAGGATCAGAGATGGAAGCCAGCCTGGGCAGGAAAGCCTGTAACACTCTTATCTCCAAGTAACTACCAAAAAGCCATTTATACATCTGTGATTCAAGTAGGAGAGTGCTAGCCTTGAGAAAATAAAAAAAAATCCTCAGGGACAGCACCCTATCTAAATTAACTTTATTTAATTATCATACAATCTATTTTATTGAATTGACTTTAACTTTATTGAAATTAATTAACAAATATTTTGATTAATTTAAAAATTAGATTAATTAATTGGACTATAATAATTTTAATTAAATTAATTGGTTTTAAATGAATGTTCCTGCAGATACCAGGGCTTTAAATCAAAACTTTGCGCTTGTGCTGAGTTTTCTTGCTCAACTGGTGCTCTACCAGTTGAACCACACCTCCAGCTTTTGCTGATGAAGTCTCCCAGACCTTTAAGCTAGATTGGCCTTGAACCAGGGTTGTCTAGGTCTCACCCTCCTGAATAGCTCCAGTTACAAGCATGAACCACTAGGTGCCCCACTCAATTCTGTTGGTTTTGCCAATCTGGCCGGCTGTTCATAACTCAGAAGTACGACCCAAACATTGGATCATCCTTTCCTCTTTACCTGGTGGCCTCTGTTTCCTTTTCCACATACTCTGAATTGTCCTGTCCCCACCCTAGGATCCTACCTTTACCCCCAAACAACAAAGTTAGTTAATTACTACAAGACTCAAGAGAAGAGACACTAGAGACCTAACACAAGAGACAAAGCATCCCTTTATTATTGATTTCAGTGATGATGATATTTGCCTTTCCTTGTGCTCAATGGGTATAAAATCTAAACAGAGAGTTGGAGTTAAACCTCAAGTGTTTAAATATCAGGTAGGAAAGCATCTTCTGCCCAGCAGAGAAATCTGTTCCAGCATGCCAGGTATCCTAATACCTGGGCTTTGCTGACATTCTCCTTCCTCATTCACTGTGAAAAACAATCCTTTTGGTATTTTTTTCCTAACAATCAGCAAATAGCTACCAAGAATTCACCAAATGTGCTAACTTTGTAAGTGCTCTCATGTTAATGATTGTAGCATAAAGAAATGAGTACTTTTATTCTTATTTTATAGTAGCCTATAGTTCAGAATTTAGTTACAAGCCTATAGGTCGCTGAGGCTGCTTAGGTAGAAGAACTGGAATCTAGGTCCCTTCTTTCTCAACAAGGTATTCTCCTTTTTGTTCTGTTACATCTTTCAGATATGTTCATAATTGATGACATTGAGAGAAGATAGGTAATTGGCATCATTGGGTTTTTTTTAACTTACCTGTTCTAGGGCTTAACCTCAGGGACTGGGAAGTGTCCTTGAGCTTTTTTGCTCAAGGCTAGTGCTCTACCAGTTGAGTCACAGCTCTACTTCTGTTTTTTGGAAGCTAATTGGAGATAAGAGTCTCATAGACATTTCCTGCCAGGCTTGCTTGGAACTGTGACCTTAGAGCCTCCTGAGTAGCTAGAATTGGAGGTGAGAGCCTCCAATACCCCACAGGATCATGCACTATTCTTCCCACTATAATAAGTGTATGTGCCTTTCCACAGTCCATATGTGTATTTTGGTTAGTTAATAACATTTTTTAAGTTCCAGTCGATACTCTCAAGTTATATCCATTCTGTCTTCATGTTATAGCTAAATTCTCAGCAGTCTTGATTTATTTGAAGATTTCAGTAACACTGCTGTTTTGACTCCATTTTCTGACAACATAACATGAATGAAAAAAGTCATTTAATTTAGTTCTATATTATGTGCAATAAGCTTTGAAAAAATTTAAAATGAGTGAGGACTCAGAGGACTTAGATTTCATGAGTGACATGCTTTTTCTGCCATTCATAAGCAGCTGGAACTGGCTTTTGAACAGAGGCAGTGAAACTCAGAGGGCACTGCATTTGACTCCACTTCACACCAACTTTACCCAATGCAATTGTTATAGAGGTCACCCTCCTTGGATTGCCCCCTGTCCTCACATAACAGGTAGTTGGTGCCTGGTGGGCAGCCTGTTCTAATGCTGCTGCACACCAGCATCTACTTTAGTGTGTGTTATACTGGACACATGCAACAGATACATAAAATACACAATCCTATTGTTATACAACGCACGTTGCTGTGAAGAATTTAGTGCTGAAGTCATTGTGAAAGTGTGACACTCTCAAAGTATGGTCTGATGAGAATTTTATTCACCTGAGCCGGAACTGGGCACTGTCCATTTAGCTTTTTCATTGAAGGCTGGTATTCTGCCATTTCAGCCACAACTCCACTTTTTGGTGGTTAGTGGAGATAAGAGTCTCACCAGTTTCCCTGCCTGTGTCACTTGTGCCCAGCTGATGAGAATCTTATGTAACATTTATTTCATCAACTCAAGCTAAAAATAAACTTCCATAGCTGATTCATGCTACTAATTTTTACTGTGTATGGTTTACAGAATATCAAGGTTTCTAGAGACATCTCCCTCATTGCCAGTAAACAAAAAAGTGTGACAGATGACAGGTTCAAAATGGAGTGGCTGTGTCAACCCTGACCAAAAGGGAGCACAAGCAAATAAAGCCAGCAGATTATGAGGGGTTCTCAGGCATGATCATCTGGTAGTAACTATCACAAAAACACTGCACCAGAGTCACACACTTGCCCACCACAACCTTTCTAAGCAAGAAGTTCTGAAAGGACATCTGTCTGTTCAACCTCAGATCCATATTGCACCTGTTATCCACTGGAGCTGAGCATCAGTGGCTCATATCTATAAACCCAGGTATTCCAGAGGCTGATAGTTGAGGACTGCACTTTGAAGCCAACCCAGACAGAAAAGTCTTTAATTTTTTATTTTCTTCATTTTTATTTTTATTTTTTGGTCTGGAACTCGAACTGGGTACCTGATATATTCACTCATTGGCTCATTGTATGAACTGAGCCACATCTGCACTCTCTCTCCACCAAACTCTTTTTTTTGGGGGGGGGGGGGGTCCGGTAGTGGGCCTGAACTCTAGGCCTGGGTGCTGTCCCTCAGCTCTTCAGCTCAAAGCTAGTGCTCTACCATTTGAGCCACAGTGCCACTTCCGGCTTTTTTTTTTTTTTGCTTATGTGGTGCTAAGGAATCGAACCCAGGGCCTCATGCATGCAAGGCAAGCACTCTACCACTGAGCCACCTTCCCAGCACCTCCACCAAACTCTTTATCTCCATTTGAACACTAAAAAGCCATAACTGACACTGTGGCGCAAGTGAAGAGTGCTAGCCTTGAGCAAAAAGGCAGAAAGCTCAGGGACAGTGCCTAAGCCTGAGTTCCAGCTCCAGGATCAGCTCACATGCATGTGTGTGTGTAGGGGGGGTGTGTGCACACGCACACACACACACACACACACACACACACACATCTTCCATTTGCCTCAAGCACTTTGAATATCACCATAGTTTACTATGGTATATATACTATCTATTTCCATTGCAATGCCTAGCAAATGAATATCCTTATTCGTTGTAGAATTTATTTGGGTAGTGGAATACTTTATATTGTCATTAGGTTAAGCAACATATTCTGATGCTTATACTCTTTGGAAGCATTTCTTGAATTTAATTCCAAGTCATTCTTTATTCTACTCATTTTGACTCCATTGTTTCAGTCTGTCATCCTTGGAGGACAAATATTTTGCAGCCTTAATCCTTCTGGCTAGAAGAGAATAGTCTCTTCTGAGAGGAAAACAAGTGTGGTTAAAACTACTGAGTTTACACACTTATTGACTTTAATCCCTACAAAAGGGTATTTGCTATATAAAGTACCACTGAAAGCAACTACAAGTGTGCCATGATGCTTATGCTATTATAAAGATTAATATCATTCCAGGTTGATTACCTGAGACGTTAGAGAACTTTTTGCATTATATATTCCTGGTAGACTTTAAGTATACTGATGTAAAATGAGCTTAGGCCCCTACAAAGATTATTGTAAATTTAGAATATTCTTTAAGAATAACTTTATATTTTTGAGCTCAGAAAATATACACTTTCAAAGAAAGGTTTTTAAAAGTCTTTGCTTAACATATTTTAGAGAATTCAAGAAGAAATAAAATGGGAAAATACTGCAAGAACAAGAAAGTTCTTGTAAAGATGAATGACTGAAAAAAAAATACCACAACATAATTAAAAGCCCTAGCTATTGAACAAAATAGTACAAAATAAAATAAAATACTTTCTTTGTCAATGTCTGAAATAAGGTCCACGAAGGTATGGGAATAGAGTACATGTAAGGCAGACATTAGACTAATTCATAAATTAAGACTAATTTTGTGAAATTTTATTTTTAAAGATAAGTGAGCCTCACCTCTGCAGTTAGTTCTATTACCGGAGAAAGAAACATTAGTAGTTCATTACATTTGTCTCTATTGAAGATCTACTAAATATACATATATACTAAATATACATATACTAAAATACATATACTAAAATACATATATAATATTTGGATTTATGTATGAGTGGATTTATATCTGCCCATCATTTAGCCGTAATGATGAGCATTATATACACATATGTACTTATGTGCACAGATGTAAAGTACACATGTAAATTTGCCA